GTTTGTTGGTGGTAATTTAGTGTCGTGGAAGAGTAAGAAGCAAACAGTTGTATCCAGATCAAGTGTAGAATCTGAATATCGCGCTATGGCTCACACTGTGTGTGAGTTGGTTTGGTTGAAGAGCATGTTATTTGAACTTGGGTTTGAGCATAAACAGCCTATGAATTTAGTGTGTGATAATCAGGCGGCTGTTCATATTGCGTCTAATCCAGTGTTTCATGAAAGGACAAAACATATTGAAGTTGATTGTCATTTCATTCGAGAGAAATTGTTTGACGAGGTCATCAAGACATCTCATGTACCGTCTATAGATCAATTGGCTGATGTGTTTACCAAGAGTTTAGGGGGCTCTAGGGTGAAAGACCTTTGTAACAAGTTGGGTGCTTATGATATATATGCTCCAACTTGAGGGGGAGTGTTAAGAGAATATAAGTATTCTTGTAAATAATAAATTAGTAAGGGTATTTTTGTAAATAGTTTGTTAGGGTTGTACTCCTATACATACTAGTTGGTCACTCATAATATAGTGACTAGATGTTTTCCTCCCAAGATACTTGTTGACAGCAACCTATATCATGGCTTCCTTTTTTCCATTTTTGACATCCCAGTACATCGTATTTGTAGGAGAAAATTTGTATAACATGTAGCGCTTCTTCCTAAAAATCACAAATGAGAAAATTCAAGAGAGATCATAAAGGTGAGACAAAAAACATTTTTGCCTGTTGTCTCACATTGTGGCGATTCTACCAACTTCAAAGACAACCAATTGCAAGTAAAAGAATAAATTTTTTTATTAAAAAAAAAAGGAGAGATGAGCAAAAGCAGAAGGATAGAGAAGAAACACAGATACCGAAAAGAAAATACTAATTAAGCAAAGACAGTAACTCTTACTTTAGCCAATAACTCCTGACTCTCAGGAGGTTGCTTTTTCAAACTTTGAGGCAATATAACAGTGAGAAGCTCTGGTTTTTCAGCACGAAGAGCACCTCTAATAACAGCAGCATTAGTTCCAGATGCTCCAGATGTGAAAATATGGTTCTTCTGGAAATAGAAACAGAAGAGTATACTAATTACACCATACTCATTCTAGCTGAAAGGACAAAAGGAATGACCAACTCAACAGCCTGAAATAGTCGACTATCATTTCATGAATTGGTTCAAGCTACAGAATACCGTTATGACCAATGCATAGCTGAGAATTTCAATAAGTTCCTGATGCATGAATCCCATATTTCTTGTCCCAAAGAACCCAATAGCCCTTGGGCCTTGTTGTTGAATTGCTAGTAACTCCTAAGAACACAAAAGAATATTCACATAAGTTGTTGTGAATCTACAAAAGCATTGAAGATGTTAAGACATTCATATCAACCTTCCAACACAATCTAAAACCTGAAGACTCGACAAACCCGCCAGAAGTTCAATGATACCAAGAGGAAATGAGTAATTAGTTATAATCAAGTTTGTCTCTTTATCTTTCTGATTTATTTTCTGCTCACTAAGGTGAATACTTAAAGTTGAAGCAAAAGGGCCTTTACCCAAGTAATGATTACTTGAAGTTGAATACTCAAAGTTGAAGCAAGAGGGCCTTTATCAAACTAGTGAAAGAAACTCTCTTATGTAGCCTTTCGAAAGGTACTTCTATTGTGAGGATTTGCAACTTACAAACAAATGGAAATTTTGAAAACCTAAACACTGAAAGTGTAAATGCTTTGCCAATAGTTTATATTGACATCCTATCTAACCAATTCTTCTGTTGAAATGAGTCAAGTAATTTATCCACACATAGGCATGAAAACTATCTAAGGTCATTCTGCATGCTCTCTTGCCTAAAGTATGGCATGCTTGAAAGATTACAATGCAAAACGGTGATCCCATTAGAGGTACATGGAAAGTAAGTAACAAAAAATTGTTGATACTGTTTAAGTGGTGTAAAGAAAAATTGTGGTCAAAACTTCTTGCCATCTGAACCTCAGTTTGCACATTAAATATACTAAACCTGTATGTAGTCCACATCAGGGGCAGGCTTGTACTCAGACAGCAGAACTGCTCCTGACCCTTCAACAATAGATTGGGCTTGAGTTGGAATCTGAGTTTTGACCTCTTCATCAGAACCATACATTTGCACCCGATGATCATCTTCATCTCTCACGCCCTCAGAACCTTGATGTCTTTTCTCATATCCATAAAGCCACTATATCAGCACATATAAAAGAGAGTTCCCTGGTAGTAAATCATTAGTGAAAACCAACTGATGCGTGTAAAGAAATAAGAGAAGCTCAAGCTTGCAAGAATAGCATTTCTAATGAGAAATTCTCAGTTTTCAAAAGCAAAGTTGTTTGAGAAAACTTGTTAAAACCACTAAACTACAAAGAAAATTAATGCGTTCTACACCCAAGCACCCTCAGCAAAGTGCATTTGTCATGTAAGACCAATAATCGGTCACAATGTAAAGTTAGTCATTCCATTCTAGTTGCTATTAAACCATGGATCAAGTATGCCATCATGACATAACATAAGTTTGCAGCAACTGGCTCAAATATCCTTACCAGGAATAGAAAACAAAATCTCTCTTTTCAAACAGCCAACGGGATACTTGCAACTCCGGCACAAACTGCACTTATACCTAATAGTCTGACAGATAACTATCTAACAGCCTAAATTTTTTTCCCCATTTTGTAAATATATTTCGGCTTACCTGAGTTTCTCTAAGGGGATGTGGTCTAAGCTCAAGGCAAAGAGGGCAGCCCGGGTGTACCACAACCCGAGTAGGCACCTTGAAAATCCCCACTCCACCCCCACTCCCCATAAACTCCGGCAATGGTTGGTAGTTCTGCGGCGGATGCTGATGCTGATATTGTACGTATTCCTCAGAGCCACCACCATCCCCCATTGACAATCCATCAATCCTATGATTAATATTATAGTCCGCGTTACAAGAAGCAGAGCCAACAGTGGTGGAATAGGGGTAGAAATCATCATCATCATCATCAGATGAATTCTCCAAGAAATAGCTGTAACTATTACTGCTGGCAATGCCGATGGTTTTAGCATCATCTAAGCTGTGTTTTCGCACTTGGCGATGTTTCTTGTGATGTGATCCTGTGCTTGTACGCAGTTGTTGGCTATATGATTAAGTTTTTTCGGGCACAGGCGGGAAGTTTGATAATCCTGCCAATGCATCCCTGTCGTCGTCCTCCAAGCCACGGTCGTCCATTTTGTTTCCTTTCTCAAATTATGGATACAACATCTGAGAATGATTGCTAGTGTTCTTGCAGGGATGAGATGATCAAAATCCAAGAGAAAAGGCTTGAAAACTTGCGGAGAGAGAGAGAGAGAGAGAGAGTGGAGGAGAAAATGTCAACAAGTTTGGAAGTGGGGATAGGAAAGATTGCATGGGAGTGCGAGGATTGACGCGGGGCATTCTGGTTTCATACGGACGAGAACGTCAAACGTTGTTGTTTCTGTTCTTATATTTTTGGCTCCCATTCCCAGGTTGAGTTGTAAAGTTTCATGGTCGTGGGGACTTCCATTCCATTTTTCTCTTTGTCGAGCCCTTTCACTTTAACTCTGGGATGGATCGTGCCTAATGAGCCGGGCATTTATAAGTTCGAGTTCAACTTATTTAATTTGTAACATCTTCGGAATTCGGATTTTGGATTATGAGTTTCAAATTAATAAATATGAAGTCATATCCAACTCACATAATATTCGAATTTAGTTCAAATTCACTTATTACTCCTTAATTTTCTTAATATAATTACTATAACTATTAAGTTGTACAACTATACAAGACTACAACATTAAAACTAAATATGAATAAGTAATAGTTTTTAAAAAGCATATAAATCAAAAAATTTTCAACAATATTTAAATCTAATTCATTCAAAAAAACATGAAAAATAGTAATAAAACATGTGGTCATAAATCAATATATTTTTAAAGGTTGGAACTTCTTTATAACCTTGTGATTTGAATCCAAATATGCTTGATGATTTGTGTTTTTAGATCAAAAATAAATCAACCGATATTATACCAACACAAAAATTTACTCAACTAATAAAAAAAGTTAATATTCATTTACGTATTACTGATATTGGCTCTCAAGAAAGCTAGTAGAAGAACTTTCAGATATATTTTAATTATATTTAGCATTTAATAAAACATTTGGATGTAAAATTATACATAATATCAAAATATAAATATTATATATATATGTAAGTAATTAAAGGACCGGACCTATATCGAGTTTGAGACTAATAAGGCCCAAACTCGACTCATATTTAATTTGAGCCGGACTCATATTTAATAGGTCGGCTCATCAAGCTTTTTCTCGAGCCAAGCAAGCCGAGTATGGACTAGCCCGACCCCATTGACAGTCCCACTTTGGGATCGATCAAGCCCTAATATATACTAATGGTGAATTCATTCATAAATACTGCAATTCTTTGACATAATAATAATAATAAAAAAAAAATTAATAATACACGTCTAATAGATTTGATTGTATATATAAACAACAAAGTGGTGTACAACCGTGGAAGCCCACCGTACAAGTAGACACATTTGCAGAAACCATAAGACCAGCTACCAAGTGGAAATATGATCAATTCTTGTTCATTTTCACCAATTTTTTTCATTATTCGAGTTGAATTAATTTGCTCCAAATATTTATTTTTTAGTTGTAGGAAAAAAAAAAAAAAAGAGGAAAAACCATATGAGTAGATAGAGCTTTCTCCCAAGCTAATTAAACCAAGTTTTATACGTGATTCAACTAAGATCAAGAATGTCTATCTCCTGTATGTAGCTAAAGCACATAGAAGGATAAATTACAATGAGTACACACAAAAGAAGCAGCTCAAACTCAGACTTGTACAAGTTTGTCCAGACTAGCATGAAACAACAAAGAGACTTAGATTGAACAGAGTTTCAATCTGGGAAGCAATTCAACAAACCTAAATCATGGAGTATTACAGTTTTGATTCTTGACTGGATGGCATTACCAAAGCTTATGGAAATTAAAAGATTGATCTTTTCCACCTAGCAAGCTTCTCTCGTCCCTGCCAAGGAATTAAAGAGTGCAATTACTATCAAAGGTCTTTGCTATGTATCAAGGTTAATGGTGATTAAACAGCCAAAACCATAAATAAATGGACCACCATATCCAAAGCTCAAGTACAGCGTAAGAAGAAACGCATATAAGCCAAAGAGATACTTTCAGCTTTTGGTGGGGAGGACTTCTAACATTACTACAATAAACATAAACTGGACATCATCAATTACATCTCTTGTACCAATGAGAGCCATCTATTGGGCAATATCAGACATCGATTAATTCAAATTATCTCCAAAAGTTTTTTTTTTTTTTTTAACAGGATTCTACCGGCTGTGAAAGGAATCAGACAATTAACAAAAAGCAGATAATAGCAATAGATGGTTTCTCTGTTTTGGATCTCAGATATTCAGATCAGAATGTCCTAATGTAACAGTGTTTATTCATATGCAATAGCCAAGTTCATTTTCAATGGGATTTCCATCAACTGAACCAAGACCAAAACTAACATGACAAATCTTACCATGCGAGGTGAAACAACCAGTTCATTTTCCACGATAGAGGTAGCCTCGAACCCCAATGGGTGCAGCACTTCTTCATAACTGCATCCACAGATTTGTCATCAGTTGCATGCAGAACCAAAAAATGAATGTAAATAAAAAAGTGAGTGCTTCTCCATGTGTCAATCTTTAAAAAGAATAAATAGATTCTCAGAAGAGACGACAAGATTGTTCTGATTATGATAACTAAAATTGGCACATACTCAGTAGTAGATACTTTGTATGGAGGTCCCCCTTCATGATCACTAATCTGTTGAAAGAGAAGATAAATATAATGAGAATCTAAAAAATTCAAGAACAACTATTCAAAAAGCAATGTTGACCAGATTTAGTAGGATAAAGCACAGAATTTCCTCTAAAATAACATTGTGCAAATAAGATGTTGCTAACCTTCCTATCAGGCATGTTAGGCATATGAAACTAGAAGATAACACACGAGCAAGAATTCCAGTCAATTGTCTAACCCACATTCAACAATAGATCTATCAACACATATATTATACTCTTACAATAATCGCACTACACAAATTCCAGATGCTAACATGGTGAAATCATTTTCAGAGTAAAACACTGAGAAAGGCAATTTGACGAGATGATAGCATACTGGAAACATCAGAGTTATGAGCTCTCCATCTGGTTTTAAAAGGTCTCGAATTCTAACAGCCCAAGATGGTCTCATATCTGGATCGATGGCACAAAAGAATCTGCAAGCGAATTCGTGCAATAGTTAGCAAGCAAAAATTTCTTCTCACATGACAATCAACTGATGGTCATCTAATACTCACGTGTAGTCAAAAATGAGATCAAACAACTGAGTGGGACGCCATGTGAAGAAGTCTGCCTTCAAGAATTCAAAGTGTTCTTGGCTTGATAATGAGGACAACTGCCTTGATGTGCCGCGTAAGCAAACATTTCCACAACAATATGAGAAAATGCATAATAATATGTATAAAGTACTTAGAACATGTTTTTCATTCAGAAAAAATCAAGTCTGAGAACTCGAATCAAGGAATCCTAGCATTTCGTGTCCAAGGCAGTTGTTCCTCCAAGAATAAAGAGGATAATTATGGCAAGAGCCTAGAGTTTTAACGTTTCTGAACAAATGTATCATAGTAAATGACTCAAGATGAGAACTAATATTAACATTTAACACATGTTATGTGCATTTAGTGACCAACATTTAGCCAATGCCCCTTGATGCCTTAGCACTTCCTCATTGACCAGCTAGAAAGTTGCCCAAACTTTTCATAAATGAAAATACACTTCAGTGTGAGGGGACAAAAACGGCATTCGGAAAATAAGTAGTTACCTCTTTGGCTCTTTCAAGAGCTACTTCTGATATATCCAGGCCAACAACATAGCGATCAGGGCAGGCAATTGCCACGACGTCATAGCCCTGCAGCAGACAAAAGCCCATTGATAAGTCAAGGAGAAAAGAAAGAAGAACAGAAAGGAACGACTTTGGACTCACAACCAGTATAGAATTAAAACTAAGCTGCAGAACACCTACGCCAACTTTTGTACCACCCAAAACAGAAAATGTGAAAAAAAAAAGAATAAATTTTATGTGGATTTCCAAGATGATCTCCACCATTCCTTAGTACAGACTCTTGATTACAAATGTCAACTGGGTGAATTTACTAAAAGCAAGCAAACATGCAGCATAAAAATGAAACCTGCAGTATGGTGAAGTCAAAAGAACCTTGATTTCTTTTCTTCCTATAGTCACTGCCATGTTCAAAAACCTGGATCACCTAATCCCCATAGCACAAGGGTACCATGGTGCTGTAGTGCATGGGATGAAGCGCACTACATTGGGCGGATTGCATTTAATGCATAAAATCTGAAATTTTCCTCTACATAGCTATTCTGCAATAAAAGCACTTAACTAATCTACCAATGTTCTCAGCATGATAGCAAACCAAAGAATACAGAGTGACAGTAAACTTGTAGCTACTCGTTCAATAAATATTGTGTTCACAACGCACCTGAAGCAGTAAACTTGTAGCTACCTGGCAATAGTGCATGGACCCAAAAACAACCATATTGCAGTGATTTATACAATCATGAAATCTTGAACAAAAGTTAACCAAGGCAGGCAATTTACAGCCATGAACCCAAACGTACAACAATTGAATCCAACAAGCATGTGCTACACTTCTAAGCATCAGTTCCAATCCATAAACCCAATTGCAGAAATCCCAGATACGCAAAAGAGGAAAAATTAGAACTTTAAACTAGTAGGATTATACTCACACTACCACAACCAGGGACCAAAGCCCTGCCCTTAGGAAGGGCACCAGTCTTATGAAGATGGACAAGAATTGGGGAAGGCTGCCCCAAGTCCCATGGTGTCAACCCTTGTTCCCAGCACTTTTGCCAACCATCTACCCACTCTCCAAGAAAACCCAATATTTAAAAAAAAAAAACAGAAATCTTGAATCAGAATTATGATCAGGAATTATTAAGACCAAAGATGATTGGTCTTGATGAAAATAATTACCTGTCGAGCCAGAATGGATGACTTGTAGGAATTTATCAACTGTAGTAGAACTAGATGATGGTGATGAAAAAAGAGTTGAAATTGTGCTAGTAATTGATCCATTGTGGGACTTTGTAGCATCTAATTTTGGGTTCATCATCGTTCTCAGAGGAGGTGATGAGCTGGAAGTGGAAGTGGAAGTGGAAGTGGAAGTGGAGTGGAAGTGGGTGCGAGCAACCTCGGCCAGCAGCAGGAGATGAGGCTGACGCAAGAGGAGCCTCTCATATTTTATCGCCGATTGCTTCCCTCCTTCATTTTTTTTTTAATTGAAAAATAGATTATAATTTGAGATAAATAGAATAAAAAAAGCTTGGCAAAGTACGGAAGAGAGAGTATTGATCACGTCACAATATCATATCATATATATATATATATAATAAAGTCATATTCTCGTACTTATTCCTTCATATTTTTTCTTTTCTACGTGGCTTAACGAGACGGCAAGTAGTTGGCTTGCTCCTTTTTTGATTGGATATATATCAATTCTTATTTCCTATAAAAATACTTAATATTATATGATTCTTATTTCCTATCCAAAAAAGGAATGGGAAAGTAATGCGATATAAATAAAAGAGACATAAATCTCCTTTATTAGATATATAGGAATAAATTATAATATATTTTTTATAGTGTCCTATTCTTTTTTTTTTTTAACAGTTTCATCATAGATCCTTTTTATTTTAAGATAATCTATCCATATATAAAACAACATACAAACAATCTAGACATGAAAATTAAAGAAAGTTAGCCCGAGAAAGTTTTTACAAGACTCACAGTTCATAATTGATGTATAAAGAGAAATGACACTTCATCTGATTGAAAAATTCTGGAAAAGTCCATAAAGAAAATGGAGTGTCATCAACCAAAGAAATAAAATCCCATTATCTTAGTTAAAGAAAGATGAGACAAAACATTAGACATTTGTTGAAGTTTTGCATCCCGAAGGCCCCTACCCAACCATCCGTCTGTAGTGTCCTCAATCCAAGAGAAAAGCCTCCGTCCGTAGTGTCCTCCGCCCATCTATTTTTTTTAATATATTTCTGCTAATAATTCCTTAATCACAATACATCTCTGCCCAGATGGTGGGGAGTATTTCGTGTGTGGACTTACATCATAGGAGTCCATGCACTTAAAAGACTCGATATAGTAGAGGTGGTCTTTTAAAGTCGATAAATTTATCTTGATAACGCATTTGTAAATTTATTACGTACAAGTTTATATACATGCATAGTACGGGTCACATAAGGTCTTATTTCCTACTTAAAGTTATTTGAACGATTATGATTTTATTTCCTATAAGAATTCTTACTATTAAAGGATTCTTATTTCCTACCCAAAGTTACATACTTTAAGCAACTTAAATTAAGATAAACATACTTTTAATGTTCTTATCAATATCTCTTTGTATTTTTATCAATTCTTATTTCCTATGTCTACACTACATATAGCCTTTAATATATTGATTTCAAGCATCAAATTCGTGGTTAGGTATTTTTAGTGCAAGCAGTTGGCATATTAAAATATCGATTTTGAGTTTCCACTCCTCTTAATTATCAGGTACAACTTCTTTCAATATATATATATATATATATATTAAAAAGGCATGTTGATCTTCAATTGTAAGAGCTCAGTAATATATCTTGAATTTTGTTTTTTTTGTTTTATTTTCTATTTATTTTGTATGAAGACAAAGGATTTAAACAAGTACTTTCATCATTATTTTTGTAGGATTTTTTCTAACATGTTTGTTAATTGATTTATGTGATCATATACTACGATGTTTGTTAATTTGCCTTCAGGAAAAACAACCAAAAACAAAAGGCACTGGAAAGTAATGCGATATAAATACAAGAGACATAAATATCTCTATTAGATATATTTGCAAATTCATTAGTTAATTAAAAGACTCTGGCCATTTACTTAATTATAATCTTTACGTATTGTTATACACAAACTTAAATGCGATAAATCATTTATTTTTTTTATACTTAGTTATCCTACTTTGCTATCATGCAGTGATAATAGAAAATCAATAAATGCTGATTTGCACGGACAAATCGAGGAGAATGTTCAATCGAAAAAAAAAAAACAAGTTTCTGAATAGTAGAATATTATTTGATACTATTTACTACACTTTTATTTATTTTCAAGTTTTTGAATGTTATGGCATTGTTGAATGTTATTTTTTCTATTTTTAAATTACTATTCACTGAATTGAATGTTCAAATTTATATTATAAGAATACTTTACATTACAATGCGCATATAGTAATATACTTAAGACAAGTTATAATAGATTATACAATAAATATGTATTTTATATCGACATTTTTATAAATTGACTAAAGTTTATTATTTTTCGACGATTCCCGTTCAATGAACGGGTACAAAACTAGTTATACTACTAATCAAACCATCATATCAATATCTATACTATATATTAAACCTGAGGAAGGGGTTTGGAATTAGTGTTTGAGTTAATATTTATCGTCATTATATAAATTACTTCAGTATATTTATCGTCATTATATTAAATTACTTTTAATTATTTAAGTATATGTTTTCAACATAACTACTGCTAAATATTATAACTATTAATATAAAATTATTTTATGAAAAATATTTAAAAGATTAAAGTTTGCTTCAGTAATAAAAAAATTTATTTAATGAGCATAAATATTAGTATGTATTTTTTATTGCACACACATTGGGTGGGCAATCTACACTAACATAAATCAAAGCTCCTTATCGTATTTAGGGCTTGAGTTTTGGTCTAATTGTGAGATTGACTTAATCTTACCAAATTCAAACTCGAGCCCTCTAATCGAGCTTAAAAAAATAATTGTTATATTTATAAAATAGACATTTCATCTTAATAAATAATAAAAATATCGGGAACATATAAGTAATTTCACTACTAATAAAAAAAAATAAATATGTAAAGGTTCATCGAACTAGCAAATCAAACATAGAGATGTTCAACTCGAGTCACTAGGCTTGTCAAGCCAACTCCAATTACTCATCAATCATTTTTTTCAACTCCAATTATTGTACATGTAAGAATTATCTCCGATTGTTATATTCTTATGTGTGATAATTAAAGTTAACTATATTTTATATACAAATTGATTTAGAAGAAATTCAAAATTAAAAAGAAGACAAAAGGTTATAAACAGCTAATGAGAAAACAAACGATTAAATTGACGATTAAAATCACTATATTATGTCATATTGACTAAGAAAACTTCAAAAAAATTATCTATAATTATAAAAAATATAATAGAAAAGGTTTACAATTACTGGAATTAATAAGAATTTGTTGCATCAAAGTCAGAATGTTTTAGTATGTATTTTGCTCAGGTTTTGTTGTATACACTGGTTTCGTTTGACACAATATATTTTGTTTATTAGTCAATATTATACCAACAACTTAGGTTAAATATGATAATCTTCCATTTTCAGAATTTTTACAACTATAGAATGTACAATAAACTTTTAATTACTTTGCGCACAATAAACACATTGTTCAACTACCAATTGCTTAATTTTGTTCATTATACAGTTTCTTAGTTTATATTACACCAATAATCAAGGTGAAAAAAAAAAAACATGAGCCAGGGGTCCAAGGAAATGCCACCGATCCTGCCAAAGATAAGTCATCTGACCATCCCAAAAATCATCTGCATACAATTACTAGCAATGGGATGCAGCTTCAACGTTTTACACCAATTCCAGTAGGAAGATGCATCTGGTTTAACAATCCAGATTATAAGCGCATGCTGCTTATCCAGATTATAGTTTCAAAATGGATGAGGAAATGATGAACATGATTAAAGCATAGTTATCCTGCACGAAAAAATGTAACATGAAGAATGGATAAGTTACTGCTACAATTAGCATTTGAAAGCGCAAGTGAAATTCGTGAAGCAAATATATTCATTACAACTTCCCAACTATAAAAGCAGCCACAAGCAGTTAAATAACTAAAAAAACCCCAGAATGAGAACAAAATTACAGCTTGTTAAATGCATTCCCAAAGATCTCGAAGGAGAGAAAACTATGAATATAGGATTTTCCATGCAGATTTTTAGATGAAAAGCAAATATACGATGACTAGTAAGACAACAGGGGAATCCTGGTTGCAATTGGGATTGTAGCATAAGGTTTTTCTTTTTCTTTTTTTTTTTGGTAGTAGCAAACCTATAAGAAACAACCTGGATCACCATTCATAATTTAGATATAAAGTGCACCCCAGAATCATTCAAAATTAGAATATAAAACTTGATCAGGATGTGAAAATCAAAAAGCGAATACACCAAATAGAAAATGTAATCATGTAAAGAAGTTTACCATGATGAGTACTACAGAAAGTGATTGAGCTTCTTTTTAACTTCATAGAGTGGACTAAAAAATGTTTGATGATGTAAATCTGTTCCATGATGGCAACCTTCTAACACAAAAGGAGCTCAAAATGCTAAAAACCAACAAGAAACTGAAATCTATCAATTTACCTCTCCTATACAATGAGCACTTATTGATATCTCGAGGAATTTAATTCTTACCTTTTTCAGGTCCTTCCAGAAAGTAATTTCTATACCATTGACAACAGTTAAAAACCATTCATAAATCACAAACTACATCATTTATAGCAGTTTGAATATCACTAACCTCTTTATTGACTAAGCTGCTGAGACCACTTCCAAGTAAGAGCGCAAGCCGACCAACCATACTATCTTTGCTGCTGAGGAATCTACATGTGAAAAAAGGTACTGATCATATGGAGAAACCCTTCCTAAGGCTAGCTTCCTATGCCAATATGCTCCTTTACGGGTGCAAACACTGGCTTTGAGAGAAGAAGATAAAAGTATGAACGATGAATAGTTGTACATGTCATATGTCTTGGGCAAGCTTTGACCTTTATTGTTCGACCTTCCAGATATGAATAACTATTAGATTCCATCCCATTCAAGAAAAGATTGGCCTTTGGCCTTATTCCAGTTTCCCAACCGTTCAACATTATATGACTCTTGTCCTTGAGAATAACTGGTTATTTATAAGCGATCTTACAGGAAAAAAGAACTTACTTGACAATATGAGATGCCTGCTCTCTATGATGCATAATTGAATCAGATGATCAGTGCCCTATACATCTTTTGGAAACAAAATGCTTGTTCTGTACCAGACAACGTTCAGCCTCTGGATTGTATCTTGTAAGCCAAACCTTGAGATGTTTTCTTTAAAAGAGTTTCCTCTGCAATTCCCTATAAAAGTTTCGAATACCATATCGGTGCCTACACAAGCAAATTGGTGATAGAAACTACAATAAAATATTTCCTAACAACTCAATCATTTTTCTCTTCTATTGAGGACAAGCTCCAATAGTCTCCAGAATTTCTCAAGTAGAAACGACTAAAACATGAGAAAGAACATCGCATAAGACTATATTCTCCATCTCCAAACTCACATAATCATCTAAATCCAGTAGCACTGACAGCTGATAGATAATCAAGTGCTCTTTCCAATGGAGACCTACTACAAGCTGGATATGCCCCTTATGCTAAAACTGAAGGGTTTTTCTAGAAGTCAAAAAGTAAGATTTAAAAAAAGTTCTTGTGTTTCAGTATCTGTATCTGGCCTCATTTGTGCTATAATGGCATCTAGAATCATATATATGTGTTCACATTTGGGATGCATCTTTTCATGTGCAATAAATCTATGAAGGGTTCCCCCTATTTCGACAAAACTAAAGCCAGGAAATTTCTTCACTCCTCTTGTTTCCATGACTTCCCTCATTGTTCTTGCTTCAGCCCAGCGTCTTCCAATTGCATAAACATTTGATAAGCCAACATATCTGCCATCATGATCAGGCTCCAACTCAATAAGTTTCTTTCCTGCTACTTCCGCAAGATTTAAATCTCCATGGTGTATGCATCCATTGAGTAATGCGCCCAACATGGATGCAGTTGGTTCAATTGGCATTTGAGAAACAAGTTTGTATGCTTCCAACAATAGGCCTGCACGTGCTAAAACATCAATCATGCAAGCATAATGTTCTGCTTTTGCTGTCATACCATTTTTACTAAGAGAGTCAAAGAAATACCAAGCCTTCTTTACCAAACCTCCATGAACACAGGCACTCAAAAGGCACAAGTAAGTGATTTCATCTGGTCTGACCCCCAAACTCTGCATTTCAACATACATCTCAAGGGACTCCTGAACAAACCCATGAGTAGCAAGCCCACCAATGATGGCATTCCAAATCAATACATCAGTTTTTCTCTTTGGAAACCCATGAAAGACAACCAATGCTTCATCAATTGCCCCACATTTAGCATACATGTCAACTATGGATGTCGTCAACACAAGAGTCGAAGGCAACCTGTTTTCTACAATATATCGGTGCATCAACCTTCCCTGCTCAAGTGCACCCAAATGAGCACAAGCACACAAGACACTAACCAAAGTCACTTCATTTGCCTTCTGTCCTTCAGCTTTCATCCCGTCAAAAACTGCCAACGCCTCCATGTATTCCCCACCCTTGACATAGCCATCAACAAAAGAGCTCCACGACACAACATCCCTTTCAGGCATCAAACCAAACACTTCCTTCATCAAATCCAGTTTTCCACACTTTGCGTATCCATCCAACATTGTATTCCAAGAAACCAAGTTCCTAGTAGGAATTTCATCAAACAACTTCCTGGCACTCATTGCGTCACCACAAGAACCATACATATGAATCAAAGAATTCGAAACAAACCGATCAGACACAAACCCATTTCTCAGTATTACTCCATGAATACACCCTCCGAGCCTCAGCTCCGATAACCGAGCAGAAGCCTTAGCAAGAAAAGGGTACGTCAAGTAGTCCGGCAGGACACCAACCCTCAACATATCAACAAATAAACTTACAGATTTATTTGGGTTCTTGCTATTAGAATAGGCCCTTATCATCGTGTTGTAGTTAAAGATTGTTGGGTCTGACAGCCGAAGGAAAAACTGATTAGCATAATCTATGTCACCTGAACTGGAGACTGCAGAAAAGGAGAGGACTTTGGAGGCAAATGGGTGGTGGTCGGAAAGGCCAAAGGTGATCAAGAGGGCGTGAATTTGCTTGAGCTCTGGCATGGATTTGCATCTTTCCAGCAAAGCAAGAAAACAGGCTTGGTTTATTAGGATGGGAGCTTTGGTCCGCAGGGAAGCATTAGACATTGACAAATGCAAGAATCATAACTAACTTTGCTCCGTTTTGGAGGGAAAGAAGCATGCTGCCAGCCCCAGGGGCGCAATTGTAAACTTGTTAAGCTAAGGGGGTCGCATCTATAATTTTGAGAAATATGAAGGGGACAAAAATTAGAACAAAGAAAATTCTCCCTCCGTCAAAGCTCAGAACCATGCCGAAAGAAAAGAAAAAGACCCCAGGAGTCAGCAGCTAACCCCCTTTGTTAAACTTTTCTGCATCTGGGTTTTAGCCTTTTCTTTCATTTTTTATCTTTTCTTTTGGGGTCTTCCAAAAATTGAGGAATTTTTTGAGTTCTCATCATAATCAGACTTTCAATCCTGTTTGGTTGTAAAAGAATTTCTGTTAAGTACAAAGTTTGGATTTTTAATTGGTATAACTGTTCATTGGATTGGAATAACAGCTTTTCAATCGCCAATTTTTCTGCTTGTTCTTTGGGGGGTCTTAGGATAGAGGGGATTGAATAATGGGAAATGTATTTGTGAAGAAGCCAAAAATAACAGAGGTGGATCGGGCAATCCTCTCCCTCAAGACCCAAAGGCGTAAGCTTGCTCAATACCAGCAGCAGGTAAGCTTGGTCAAGAACTAATTATGTTTGAGCAATTTGATTTCTGAAAGCTAGGATTGTTGGCGTAAATGGATTGTCCTTCTTTCTTGTGGGATAGCCTTTAGTGTTGTAAAGATCCAATATTTTTAAGCTTTTGCATGTTCTGTTATTCAGAACCTGTAGATGATGGTTTGTTAAAGAACCCGACTATTTTAGGATCAAACAATGCAAATTCAGTGTGTGATTGAAAATGCACATCATAATTTGTGCATTGTCATTGGTGGTATGCTGATTTCAGCTGGAGAATGTGATTGAGGCTGAGAAGCAAGCTGCAAGGGACTTGCTTCGTGAAAAGAAGAAAGATAGGGCCTTACTAGCATTGAAAAAGAAGAAAGTACAGGAAGAACTATTAAAGCAAGTAGATACCTGGCTCATTAATGTTGAGCAGCAAGTAAGTGATTCCTTCTTTATTTTTTTTTTTTTTTTGCATGTTTATTGTTCATCCATCTAGTGGTGTTCTTGTGGATGGTTCATTCGCAAATGTGTAGAACTTGAACATGCATTTTGGTTTAGTTGGCAGATATTGAATTGACAAGCAAGCAGAAGGCCGTATTTGAGAGCTTGAAGACGGGAAATAATGCAATTAAAGCAATACAAAGTGAGATCAACTTGGATGATGTTCAAAAACTGATGGATGACACTGCCGAGGCAAAGGCCTACCAAGATGTGAGAGTTTACAGTGTTTTCCTGTTGTCTTCCAGATCAGTGTGGATTATATTCCATTGTCTCGTGCTTATGTTGGTTTTGAATTTCTGCATAATTTAAAATTTTACCCAGGTAACTGAAAAAAAAAATAACCAAAGTATCCTATGGGATAACTCTTAGAATCTGTTATTATTCTTATCTGGAACTTAATTTATTCCTGCTTGTTGGTTTGAAATGGCCGCTAGATGACGGTTAATGTCAATTAAGTTGAGAAGATACATTCTCATAGTTCAAGAACTGACCATGTGACTTTTGGGCTTGGTTCGGTGGGACATTAAACATTTCGGATGGAAAAGGCTCTCCTGTCAGAAGATTTTCTATTCAAAAAAGTTTTTTCTGTTTTATGGTCACAGAGAAAAAGGTGTTTCCACCCTTTTTTTTTTGGGTTTGTGTGTGTATATGGCTAATAATGTGAAAATTCTTTTCCTGCCATAAAGGAGTTAATATAAAAAGTGTCAGTATAAGGTCCAACTGATGGTAACAGTTCTGACGGTTTGCATGTAAGCCTACAAAATAGCTGGGTTGCTCAAAACAAATATGTAGGCTGTAGTCCTAATAAGAGTTTGTAGCTTTTAAATATGTTAAGTACCTCAAGAGGAGTGAGAAAAATTACATCAGGGAGAAGTGAACTTCTCTTCTTCAGTTTTTCTTGATGGGAGGAAGAACATTAAGTGGACAGAAGGGGGTTTTAGAAAACAAATGTTCTTTTCAGAGATTCCATCACCCTCTCTCGCTTTCTTTTTCTCCTTGCACGTGCTATTATTTTTGTTTGTACTTTTCATATCTAATCTTAATCCATATTCGTCCCAATATAAATTCATTCCATCACTCCCTAGCTCCACTTATCGCATCTTGTGCTTGTGCTTGAAAGCCTCAACTCGCATTCTTATGCCATGCTCTCAGCTGCCACCAAACTTGACAAGATATGCAGCACTTTATGAGACAAACAATGCTCATAAACGAAGTTTTAAAATTGATGGTGGTCATCTGTTCTTGAGGAAGCTTCTTAATCGTGTGTACTTGAGGAAGCTTCTTAACTAAACAAAAGCATTAATGAATGTGAAGTGTAATAACTGCATTGAAAAGATTTACATCTGCTCTCTATTTGTTTCGGAGAGTTCTCCTTCGTATGTTTACTGCTATGCGACTTCATTCACCTGTGTTTGTTGGTTAGCACTGGTCCACTGGTATGGTTTTCATGTTATTCCTTTTCGTCATTTCTCTTGTATTCCCCAAGTTTGTGTTTCAGGATTGAAGTGGCTTTCTTTCTTCTTCTTTGTCTCTTATAGCTCGTGGACCTTGATGAATTTATTAGTGGGAGTGCATTATATTGCAATTCATGTATGGTATAATTGTTTCAAACCCATCTGGGGTATAACACCTGTATTGTTTCTTTATAGGAAATTAATGCAATATTGGGAGAGAAGTTATCAGCAGAAGATGAAGAGGAAATTTTGGCGGAATTTGACAATCTTGAAACTGAGGTCAGAACATTTCAAGCTTTTTACTTTCGTTGTTTTGTTTCTCCAAAGGGTTTAAAAATCAGAAATATCTGCAATTTCTTTTTCTTCATGATCATTTTATGGATAGCAGAATCCCAGGATTTTTCCTACTTTTAGTTCCATACGATAAATGGTATGCGTTCAAATTTGGGTGCTAGGAAGCATTTTGGGGTATTGCAAAAATTGTGCCAATAGCATAACTCAATTATCCTGCAATTAGATGGCCCATGATTTAGAAGTACTTGATAGTAGCAGTTTCAGTTGACACCTGTCTGCTTTCTTTGCACCTAATACTCCGTGAGATAAAGCTACAAGAATGCTCTCTTTAAGTTTTGTATCTCATTTGTTTTTGTTGCTGTCTTTCCAATTTCCTCTTGATTTATGCATGCATTATGTAAAGATAGATGCCTCTGATGATAACATGAAGAATTGTTTTAAAATTGTGCAGATGACCGTTCAAGATCTGCCAGAAGTTCCAACTGCAGTTCCACCTCATCCGGAGGATGAAGAGAGATTAGATCTTCCTGAAGTACCAACTAAAGCACCAGCCATTGCAGAGGCAATTGAAGAAGATGTTAAGCGGAAGAAAGGTCTCTCTCTCTCTCTCTGCCCTTTTTTTTTTCCCTGTTTAACAATATTGCTTTTTAATTTTCTTCTCTTCTGGAGGAACATTACCTCTCTTTATCTCTCTGCTTTTAACTACATTGTTTTTGAATTTACTTCAGTTCTGGAGGAGCCATTACCTGCTTGAATGAGCAGTTGTCATGCTGTCTCGGACATCATCTGATCTATATGTATATCAAAATTTGCTATAAGGATGGCAATTGAAGCCCTAATCTAGTTTTATTTATAGGCCACTGGCAGCTTCAATTGTACATTGTAGTTCAATCTTTCATATGATTTATTATGAGTGGATTCTTTGGAAACTTGCATGATGGTCAAACTTTTGTCACGAACTTATAATTTTTTACTTCTGTACAGAAGTATTTGTCAGTACTCCATGTAATTTGAAATGTACTTGCTATTCTTAGTTGAGGACAATGGCTTTCATGTACATGCTAGATAGGTTCATTTTAGATGCTATACTCATGTTGGCTTTTATAAAGTGTGATTTTCTTTGTCACCTTCATTTCAGTCAGAGATACAGAAAACCACCATATCTTTTTTTTTTTTTTGGCAACAGCAGGGAGGGAGTACACCTGGGAAAGTGTGACTTACCATGTATGCTAGTCAGATCATCTGTAAACTTTCCCTCATGGAAGATGATGTCTATATCTTGTTTGCCTAACTCTTTCTCCTACCTTCGTTTAGTTTCAAAAGATGGGGTTACTAGTTAGATATTAGACTATTCGCTTTGCCTGTGAAGTTGAGCTACAAACAGCAGTTGTACCTTCAGATTTAGAAGATGATTCCAATAAGATGTGGGAGAAAATATGTTGGCAAGATGCATAATGCCCTCCAAACGCTAGCCAAGTCTTCATGTCTGGAAAGGAAGTGAGAATCCTGAGTTCGAAAATAGTCAACCTTGGTAAAACATTATTGGATTTGGGGCAGGGAAGCAACCGTTCAAGAAGGTTGATGGCCAAGATTTGGCTAAAAAAGATGTAAGATCCATAGTTTATCTTATACATCGTTTTTCACATCATGGGTAGAATTCACAAAATTTTATTTTATAATTACACGTTGTACAAAGTAAATTACATCGTGTGCAAATTGAATTATATCTTGTGCAAAATACACAAAATCGGTCCGGACGGTTTCTCTGTTGACTATTCCCGCCCCCAAATCCAACATTATTGCAGTGTTTAATTAACATGGCCCTTTATATGCTTAACCATCGATCTATTCACTAGTGCTATTTTCTCCAACATTCCTGCAAACCTAGCCAGACACCTTGGAGTAATGTTATGCCACTGTCGCTAATAGCAGTAATGTTGTGAATCGGCAACGTCCAACATGAACAAAAGCTTGGAAGTCGATAGAACTAAGAAATGGTTCAGCGTACTGGTATGTTTCCACTGAACAGAGGATCATCAGCTAAGGGCCCAGAACAAATTAAGGAATCAAATTTTGCTTGTCTGGATCAACAAGTTTGTATTGTGGATCTCGGCAACCAAATGAAAAAAAAAAATCATTCTAGCATTTCTTGCATGAAAGCATACTAGGTCAAGGAAAGTTTTGTG